TGCTATTGCTGCAGCTACTGCTGCTGCAGCTGGTTCTGGGCATCATGCGTTTTTTTTTTGCTGCTGCTGCTGCTGCTGCTGCTGCAGGTGTCTCTGTCTGCATGCATAGAGCTATTGGCTCTCTTCTTGGACAAACCGCAGCAGCAGCAACTGCAGCAGCAGCAGCAGCAGCAGCGTAGTGAACTGCTGCTGCATGCAGAAGCATCTCCTGATGTTGCTGCAGCACGGGAAGCACTGCTTACAACGCAGCAGCAGCAGCAGCAGCAGCAGCAGCAGCAGCTGGTTCGGCCTGCTGAAGCAGAAAGAATCCTAATGCGCACTGCACAGAACGTGTGGCGCCGCGCGCGAGCAGCAGCAGCAGCAGCAGCAGCAGCAACAGCAGCAGAAGCAGCAGGAGGAATAGCAGCAGCAGCAGCAGCAGCAGAGGGACACGCTGCAGCAACTGCAGCAGCAGAAGAAAAAATACTGCCCCTCTCTGCTGCTCTTGCTTCTTCCTTCCTGCAGCACAACTTGCTGCTGCAAATAAGCAAGCCACGCCTACGCTGCACCGCAGCAGCAGCAGCAGCAGCAGCAGCAACACCTGCTGCTGCTGCTGCTGCTGCTGCTGGGCTTGCTTCTGCCTTCAGCATGCACTGCAGCTTCTTCGGGTTCAATGAGCAGCTAAGCACAGATTTTCCTGCAGCAGCAGCAGACACAGCAGCAGCAACAGCAGCAGCAGCAGCAGAAGCAACGCCTGCAGAGCCGCTGCTGCTGCTGCGCTCATCACTACCTTCCGAGCTGCCTGTGCAGTGCACCAGCAGCAGCAGCAGCAGCAGCAACAGCAGCAGCAGCAGCAGCAGCAGCAGCAACAGCTGCTTGCACGTGTCGGGAAGAGAAGCTTCTGCTGCCCTGCAGACACTTCTGCAACCGGCCGAGCCTCTTCTGCTGCTGCAAGTGCAGCAGCAGCAGCAGCAGCAGCAGCAGCAGCAGCAGCAGCAGCAGCAGGATGGAGGTGAGAGCTGGGTCGGCAGCCTGCCGCTTGGGGTTTTGCTGCAGGCCATCGAAGGCGCAGATGCTGCTGCTGTCTTCTGGGGCTGCTGCTGCAGGCGCGTGCTGCTGCTGCAGCGCCAAGAGGCACCCGTAGCGGGGGCCTTCTACTGCAGCAGCAGCAGCAGCAGCAGCAGCAGCAGCAGCAGCAGCAGCACGATGGAAGTGGAGGTCTGCATCTGGTACTGGGCCAGGGCTGTTGCTGCAGAGACACCCCAGCCGCCGCTGCTGCATGCAGCAGCAGCTTCGTTAAGCGGCAGCCCCGTGCTGCAGCAGCAGCAGCAGCAACTGCTGAAGCAGCAGCAGCAGCAACAACAGAAAAAGCAGCATGTGACCAAGGCCCCACAGCAAGACATTGTGCTGCAGCAGCAGCTGCAGCAGCAGCAGCGGCAGCAGCAGCAGCAGCAGCAGCAGCAGATCGACGAAGCGAATGACATTCAGAAGCTGAGGCAGCAACGCGAGGGACTGCAGCAGCAGCTCGCGCTGCTGCAGCAGCAGCATCTTCTGCTGCTGCAGCAACTGCAACGCGACGCAGAGCACCGACTGGAGCAGCAGCAGCCGCAGGAAGTGCCGCCGGCT